GGTGTGGCAGGGGTGGAGGTTGATGGACCGGGGCAGGATGGGCTGGGGGAGGAATTTGGACCTTGGGCATATCCACCGGGTCCACCGTCGTCGACTGCTCCGCTTCCCCCAGTGAAACTGCGGTTGTCAACGGAGGCTTGCGCTCTGGAAAAGACAAAGTCAGTTATTTCTTGGAAGGATAGCAGCAGTAACAGCTTCTGAGTACTCGGTATTTTTCTTCCAGTTAAAATATCAAAAGAGAACTCAATTTGCTGAGTCTCTGAATGCCAGATGGTACCCAGACAGACCATCTTCTATCACCAGAAAATAACCAAGCTGCACAACAAAGCTCCAAGCTCAGCTTCTGCCATTCTAAACGATAAATACACCTTCCATTCTTCCTGCCATCTTCCTGTAATTTAAATATTGTTCCACACTCAGCAGACTGGATGGACAGAACCACAGCAGCAGATTTAAGAAGTCATGGGACCCAAAATCTTACAATCGTTGCTCCAATCTGCTTTACTCCAGGCCTCCCCTTCTCCCTCTTTCGTGCTCTGGGATGGGCCTGGGATCACCCTCTGCACTTCACTTGCCCCCCATGTAATAAATTATTATTTGGGAGTACAGACCAAAGTCTCAACTCTTTAACGCTCAGCTCTAAACCTGTTTATCAAGTGAAAGAAGAAAGAAAACCAGAGGGCAAGCAAGAAAGCGCGATGGATTGCGTGGGACACGAAATCCCGTCAGCTTCCTTCCACTGACTGCTTTTGGGGAGCTCAGCACCTGACAGCCTGGGAAGTTCATGAAAAGGTCAGAATTTGACAGAATTGCACTTGGCCATTTCTGGGAAGGAGATGCTTTAAAGTGTCTTCTCTTCAAACAAGAATCTTAAATTTTTCTTCCTCTTAATGCAAATATTGTAACGTAAGGAATAGCACAGTAAGACAGACCCAATGGCAACATCTCATACAGTCAGTATTGAAATGCCCAACAAAAAAAGAGTATGGGGCATCTTGACACCCACCTTGCTTGTCTATATAAACAAAACCAATTTAGATAACAAGGGGAACAAATCCTTTATTCTTAAACAGGATTTACCTTATCTAAGCAGTCCATTTGAACAGCAAAACTGCCCCCTAGGGCATAACAGATCATGCAAGGTGGCTATGCTGTATGCTGGCTGCAATACCTATGATTTCAATGACTTCGAGCTCCTGAATCACAGCAGGGAGTGATTTCCCCATTTGCTCCTTTCCAGACTCGTTCTGGATGCAAGACATGCACTCGAGATCCAACAACTGAAGCAGTAACCAACACTTGGTCGAACCCCTTCATTCTTACTCAGATTTTAACAAACAGGAAAGAATGCTCCTGCTGTATTTCAGAGCACTGCTCCTCTCTCCTGTAATTCCCTGTTAGAAGCTGTCATCTCGCAGTTACACTGAGGCCCGTGCTCTATCAAATATTGATGTCGTGTTTACGGGTCACTGGAAGGACAGCCGATGCGTCAAGGTGCTGGAAGCGCATTTTTACAACAACACAGCTTATTTTGCAAACATAAGGCATGTGTGCGGTGCTGAAGTTCTCCAGCAAGTCCCCTTTTGGGACACAGCAAAGCAAGCATCCCTCTTACTGTGCAGGATGTCTGTACTAAAGATGAAACAGGGAGGACTCCTCAGGTGAGTCAGAAGTGACATGGTATGGCATGGCATGGGCCATCCTTTTGAGAACAGAAATCCCTTTTTGCCTGCTAGTGACAATCAGTTTCAGTTTTCTAGGCCTTTAAGTCACAGCTTTGCTTTGCCTTTGTCCTCCCAGTATAATCTTGTTTCCATCATAACTGTTTTGCTTGTCTGGAAAAGCCTGTGCTACAAAGACAGAATTCCCTCTGGAGCTTCTCTACCTCATGCTTTTGTTTGCCAAACTGATTAATCAGGGACACGTCCCCTCATCCGAATGAGGAGCAGAGCAATTAATGGCAGGAGTAAATGTGGTTTAGAAAACGAAAGCTTACCTGGAGGCGGATGTGCAGGAGGTATCGGTGGATGGGAAGTTTCAATTTTAGGAATTTTAGATGGTGGTGGTGGTTCTAAAAAACAGTTGGACGTTTGTAATTGGTCATTGCTCTGCAGTATTTCCCAAAGTCTATCTCTAGCCTCACACTAATGGTTATCAAATCACATTACAGTGTGCAAAAGTACACTGGAAATCCTATACACTATGTACGTTTAATAAAGAAAGCTAAAATCAAGACCTTTGTGTAAATAAAGTGGCTTTGAGTGTCACACTCGAGTCTTCCAAAAGAACACACATTCAAAATTCAAGCTCTGGATTTTATAACCAGAGACAAATTGTCCCAGTAACACTACAAGTGTGCAGGTGAGCACACGTACATCTTCTAGCACAAAACCATAACTTGTAAATAGTTAAAAGGAATCTCAGGAGTTGTAAGTTGAGAGTTGAGGAGTTAGCAAGGTTTCTACTGATCAGACTGCGCTGAGGGACCCCTGGGACACAGTTACACCCCGTACTCTGCTCTGCCCTGGTGAGACCGCATCTGGAATATTGTGTCCAGTTCTGGGCCCCTCAGTTCAAGAAGGACAGGAACTGCTGGAGAGAGTCCAGCGTAGGGCTACAAAGATGATCAAGGGAGTGGAGCATCTCCCTTATGAGGAGCGGCTGAGGGAGCTGGGGCTCTTTAGTTTGCAGAAGAGGAGACTGAGGGGAGACCTCATTCATGGTTATAAAGATTTAAAGGGTGAGTGTCACGAGGATGGAGCCAGGCTCTTCTCGGTGACAAACAATGATAAGACAAGGGGTAACGGACACAAACTGGAACACAGGAGGTTCCACTTAAATTTGAGAAGAAACTTCTTCTCAGTGAGGGTGACAGAGCCCTGGCCCAGGCTGCCCAGAGAGGTTGTGGAGTCTCCTTCTCTGCAGACATTCAAAACCCGCCTGGACGCCTTCCTGTGTAACCTCATCTGGGTGTTCCTGCTCTGGCAGGGGGATTGGACTGGATGAGCTTTGGAGGTCCCTTCCAATCCCTAATGGTCTGCGATTCTGTGTTTGTTCAAGTTTTGCAGTTAGGAACATCTTAGAAATAGTTACAGCACATACTTAAAGACACATTATGAGGATCAGGATAGTTAAGAACTGCTGAGCCTCTAAGTAAACAGACTAAGCACACGTCAGCAAATGACTGACTCTGGTTAAAACAGCAAAATGAAGGCAATATGAATTGAGTGTTAACAGTTACCTGATGCCTTTGTTTCTTCTTTTGGAGACACAGCCTGTGTAAAAAAATAGGATGGAATTGAAACCACTGCAAAGTACAGAGCATTTTTAAACTGTAAAAAGTGAGCAAACCTGGAAACAGCTTAGAGCCTGCTAAACCAGAACCAGTTTCCTCCTCCCTCCCCTAAAAGGAGGAGGACAACCCCTTTAGTTGCTCCTATACTTTTATCGGGACACTGATAATGTCCAGTCTCCTCTGACAGATGCCACACAAACACCAAAGTCAAATCGCACTGGGAAATCCCAGTTTAAGTGGCAGAACGAAAAGCCTGAAGGAATAGCAGCTACTTCAGATACAGCATTTCCTGCTGTTCTCACTGCTGAGCACCACATCTCCTTTGATTTATTTATCACAGACGTCACGCACTGGTGCGCCGCTCACAAAGCTGAAAGCAAGAAACAGCCTCTGCTCCCAATTCTGCTTCGACCTGGCGTTCAACTGCTGCCAAAAGCACTTCAGGCCCTTCTGCTTTATCTACCAGGACAGGAAGGCAGGGGAAGCGTTGCTTTAAATTTTGAGTATATTAAGCTTAGTTACAAACGTATTTAAAATTAATGATAAAATCAGAGGGGTATGGTACACAGCTCCTCTGGTTTTTAAATGAAAGGGATTTTTTAAAGGGACTATTTACCTCTAGTGGCTTTACCTTCACCAATTATTGCTTCGTTTTCATCACTTTACTTTTCATTTTCCTTAATTCTGATGGGGATTCTCAACATTTTTGCTTATACAAAGGCACCCCAGGCCTGCTTGAAGCTACCTCATTCTTGTATTCCTTCGACATTTCAATTCCTCTTCAGCCACTTTCCAGCTGCTTCTCTGCTTTTTAAGGACAATCTTTATCTTCTCATGCCAAACACAGGTACTTTTCTTGGCAACTCTCACAGACTCATCTGCTGCCTTCAGTCTACGTGGGTAGCATTTTCTCAATCTTGTAGCGCAAAATTCCTCGTCTGTAAAATTGACTGCAACCACCAGATCTCCCTGCACTTTCAAACAGAAGCAAGTCTTGCTGCTCAGTGCAACACTTCCAAAAATCACTCATTCTGAGAAGTCACAATTGCTCACTTCAAGTGACAAGCAATTTAGTTACTGTGCACTTGTCAACACGGAGCAGTGTTCAGGAAACAATGTCATTGTAGTACATAATCGGAACAGGACAAGCAACTGCAGCCAAATAGCTTGTGTGACAGAAAAACATCAGTTTAAGCTGCATTTACGCTAAAGAAAAACAATGAAAGAATTTAAAACACTTCTCTAATAGAGAGATTGATAAAATGCAGATGATAAAATACAGATGAGGTTTTCTGGTCCTTCTACTGCACTGCAGTTTGTATTCCAAACCATTCCCTTACCATTCTGTGACTCTGTATTGACATCCCAGGGTCAGTTACCAATTTATTAGCACGCTGAATGTTCATTAATACATTCATAATAAGTTCAATCTATAATGCAACTGTTCTTTTAGTGCCATTACTACAGGCATCAAAATTGTTCCCACTAATTTTCAGTTTAATCAATCTAAATACACTATTTACGTGGAATGATTCACCAGTGTATTTTTAGCAAAGTCAAGTGAACGTTCAAGTGCTCTTCACCAGCAGAGCTGCAGAGGATGTGCAGATGCTCTGGACATCTGGTACAGATCCGTAAGTCATGGGCCAATGCCTCAGCTGCTTGGAAGCATCTTGGCTCAGTAGAAGGTAACGGAGCTCCAAGAGTTCATGTAAATGGAAAATCTGGCCTCCAGGAACAAAGTGTATTTATGCTCTGAACAAACCGAAGGAGAAGTCATGCAAAGCCCTATTTATAGGAGGGGGCAAACATTTTAAATAAGGTTTATGGCACATCTAACAGCAGAACATTTTAGAGGCCAAGTAAAGCTTTCAAACATTACAAATCTTGCTCTCCTGGACTGCTTTCTGGAGAAAGAACGACTGCAGATCATCACATTCGCTGCTCTCAAGTTCACGCTGTTTGTGCTGTTCTCCTACAAATCTTCTCCTGTGAGTCACTCTTTGCTTTGTGTTTGTTCTGGGTGCCTGCAGTACACCAGGACTTACCTTTTTATCTGTACCATTCCCTTCCTTAGTTACTAGGTGGTAGACCTCAAACTCTTAATTTCAAAAAATTATGAAAATAAATGGATACTACCTATAAAGAGCTCCCAGTTTTCAAGCTAATTAACACATTTTATCAGCTTTCTGTCCTGAACAACTCTAATGTTCAATGCAAGAACTACCTATTTCAGTGCAGACTCTGTCTTCCAGTTGCAAGCTGTATCTTGCAATTACAAGACCAAGGTTTTAGAGTGCTGTGTTTTTCTCTTCTTTGGGAGGCTGCTTTCACGAAGATGCTGCACTCTTCCAATTCCATTTCATTCTATCATTTGTTGCTCCTTCCCCGGCTTTTGGTTTTGTTTGGGTTTTTTGGGGTTTTTTTTTGCTTGTGTTCTCTAGTTTGGGCATGCGTTAATTACGAGTTAGAGCAAAAGCTGTACAAAATTTACTTCCTAAATGGACGGACTCTAAAGATTTTTGCTTCTGAAAATACCCTTCTTGCCAAGTACTTGCAAGAAGATTTGGGTAACGCTTTAACACCTTTTTTTTATAACTTGCAAGCGAAAAAATATTACAAGAAACGTAGACTAACGTCTGAAAGCTTCATTTGGACTTGACGACTGCGGAAAAGCACTCAGAGTACTTGTGACATTACCCACCTGCCAATGTACTTTCTTATTTCCAATGAGGTGATAATACAAAGTGAAGCTTTACTGCATGATGCATTTGTAGGCTTCTACTGTTGCTATTTTGAAAGACTACTTCTAAGAATTCTGACATACTTTGAGAAGCCACCATTCTCTTAAATTGGTAATCACAGACCAGAAAGTCAAACAATGTCTTCATCAGCGTTGTGCACATCTCTACATTCTGGTATGGCTCAAGATACCTTCACTAAATCAAGCCTGCTGAATAGCAAAAAAAACCCAAAACTTGATAGCACAGAACCAGAGTAAGAACCTTAACAGCTCATGCTGACTGAAAAGTAGGCACTGGTTTTGCCTCAAGTGGAATGAGTGTGGTATGCCAAAACTGTAAAGGCTGTTCCACACTAACATACAACCACTGGAAGTCTGCCATACAAAATTAATCACCAGGCTCATTCTTGGAGCAAACACAAGTCTGCTGCACACGCTGCAGCCTTTAAATCCGATGGACATCAGATCAGCCTGAAAATAAAAATGCAAGTTAAAGTTCAAAGTTAAACTTACTGCTGGTCTTTTAATCTGTCTAGGAGGACTTGGCTGGGGAGAGGGCTTTTTCGGTTGCTGTGCTTGCGTTTGCTGCTGCTGCTGCTGCTGCTGTTGTGCTGACTGTTGTGACTCTTTTTGCTGCTGAGTCTGTGACTGCTCTGAACCCTGGGGTTGCTGCGATTGCTGTACCGTGGGTGCCTGGGGTGTAGATTGAAGAGACGGCGGCTGCTGCAACTGGTGAGGAGTATGATGAGGCATTTGCTGTTTTCCCTGGGAGTACAGATCCAGGATCTGATGACAGATGTCTATAAAAAAAATACCCAAAAGATTATACACTCATCATGTTCAAGTGTACATTTAATACACAAAAATCAACTAAGCTTTTTAGTGGACATCAACTTCAGAGAAATTAACTGTAAACATTACTCATTCTTAAAATGACCACAGATTCGATTTTTTTAAAAAATAGACTTCTTGAATTTATACTTGCATTTCTGAGTTTCTTCTGCCTATGCTAAACAATACATAGATGCAGATGTACAACTTCCACAGGAAGAACAAAGTGTCTTGGTATTAATATACTGTATGTTGTTACTGTGTGCTTGGAGACCCACGTAACAGCATAAACAGGACAGTAATAGAGTAAGAAAGTCAGTGAAGGAGAATTCTACGTTAAAACATAGACATCTAGTTAGGCTGGTCAAAAACGTTTCAGGAAACTAAGTAAAATACTAGTACTAAACCCTTCTTCCAACATGTTAGGAGCTAAAAGTCTGTCAGAAAACACATAGGATCAACTGATAACCAGGTGCAAGAGCAGCACTCAAGGATAAGAAAGTCTTTCAAGAAAAGCTGAGTGAGTTCTCTCAGTGAGCATTCACTGGTGCAGTAGCAGGATCTGGAGGGATTCCCATTCTGTAACCCTCTTTGGCAGGGATTAGCAGAGATCAACCTGAAACTGAAGTAACTCTGAAAAAAGCCATGATACAAACAGAGCAGGTAACCATTTAAGAAATCACCAGAACTGGACGGTACTCACTGAAAAGTTCTAAGAGCAACAAAGGCTAAACCACCTGCACAGCAACACGCTGTTGTATTTAAAGCTTCCTTAGAAACAAATGCCAGAAAGCAACAAGCATCGATTTTTAAAGCAGGAATTTATGGAACCAGAAGTATGCTCAGCTTGACATTTGTACCAGGTAAGTTTTAATAAAATCTTTCATAAAGACAAATTAGTGGCCACATAATCACACTGTACTTAAGTGTCAAGAGAAGTCCTGCTTTATTTTATGAACTTCTTGGGGTTCTCTCAAGAAAACAGGCAGCAGGTAAATATGAGCAATATATACACACAAAGGGAATAGTATTAAGATAGCTGGATCAATAAAAAAGATTCATAACTCATCCCGTACCAAAATTCACTCCCCCACACACCAGAATTCACTCCCCATGATCTGTTCCTCAGCTGTGGTACATCATAAAATGTGATTGTAACTCTAGTATAATTTGGTTAAATAGGTCAACTCCCAAAGAGAGAACCACTGGAAACCAGGCTCCATCAGTTCCAGTGTTCACAGAGCTGCTTATTTAAAATGAGGGGAATCACTAAGAAAAACAAAACACACACCATGACAATTGAGCAGCTAATTAGCTGTGTTATAAACTGAACAAGTAGTAAAGCAAATATTGACCTGAAGACTAAATGTGATAACTAAAGATGCTTCCAGACTAAGCCAGCCTTATAAGCTTAATTAAAAACCTCATTAAAGCACAGCACTTACGTCCTCAATTACATACTCCACCATTATTTTGACTAAAACCCAGATAGAAAGGAATTTGCATTTACCAATGACCTAGACCACACAGTCAAAAGAAACACTCCTCAGTTTGCAGTAAGTGTTTTTCATACCTTCCAGAACATCCACGGGAACATCTTGGACAAACTGCTCCCACCATCGTCTGTACATTGGCTTTGATGTCCATTCCTGTATCTCAAACTTGCACAAACGGCCTGCTAAGTACATGACTGCAACAGCTATGATCTCGGGTTCCCACTGCAGCGACAGTGTAGTGCAGAGGCTGGAATAATAACAAAAGAAGACAAAACACAACCTTGAAGATAATTCTGGTTGTCAAAGTACAATGCTTAACCGTCCGACAGTTACAATTAACGAGGTATAAAATCTCACCATGCTTTCAGATCTCAGACAATTTTAATTAAGAGCCTTTCTAAACCATCTCTTAAAACATTCTTTTCTTATCATTACTTTAATGACATTTACGTGCACTGCGGCTGCACCAGAACAGAACCCCCTGTGCTAAAGGTCTGCAGTGCTAAGTACAGAACCATTTTCCCAGGACCATCAAAAACAAGTGCACTTCTAATACGGCTCCTATTCAGTAAACACAGGGCAGCCTCTCAAGGCTTCTATTGTTTCTATTATTTGAAACAATCACTCCAACCTCACACTAAATGTTTTTCTGAAGTGCACTTCCTTTAATTATTACATTTCTTGAATTATTAAACACCATCTAATTCCAAGTACACCAGTGTCCAAACCTTGATGGATACATAACAAGTTTTCTCTGATGAACTCAACAGTGACAGTGAAGCCTGTAACATCACTGCCTGCAACACTGACAGCAGCTGAAGTAAACACCTCCTGACATCCAAATATGCTAAGCAACCTTTTGCTCAAATCAATTTGGAGAGTTTGGAAAATTCAGGTGATATCTAAAGAATTTGCATGAACACTGGGCTAGTTCAAATTAGACATACTAATAAAAATGCACCTTTTTTAATGGTGTTCTACTGCCATAGGTATGACTGAAAGGAGCACGCTTAGCATTTCCAAATAGTCAGGCCACTTACACATTTTCTTAAGGGTTTGCTACAGAAACTGAAAATCACATTTAACCGTGCTTGGTGAATTAACTTGCCCAGCTCTGCAGAATCATTCTTAACAAGACTGAAGTGGATCGAGTTGTTCTGGTTAGTGTTTTTGGTTTTCAATACCACACTACACACGCAAAGTGCTTCTACACACACTCCTGTTAATGGATGTGATCCTCGTAATGCAAATCTGTTATTCAAAGAATTGTAAATCTAGCACTAAAACCTCTATTTCTCCCTGAACGGAATGGCTCCTATTACGAAAACATCACTTTAAAAAGTGCTGACCAACATGACGAAATTGGGAGGGGATTTCTTAGAATGTGCCACGTACCTCAGCCTGGGCAGGAAGCCAGCTTCTGTCCTGGAGATCCGTAATTTGGTTTGGCCCTCTCAAACAGTGGCTTTTTTTTTAATGCACCATTAAATCATTACCACAAACCTGCAAATGTCTTAACGGTCTACTTCTATACTTATCCTAGATTCCCTGCTCAATGGAACTACCATGGTAACGATGGAAAGAAAGTGATTAACGTGATCAAGACAACATATAGCAAGCAGAAAACGTTATTGAGCATTTGTCAAAGAAATACCTAACTCCAGAATAAAGTAGGCAACGGTAACTACTTCACTTTCAAAAGGTTTCCTAGAAGTATCTCACCTGTCATTGACAAATGTCCATGCCATTTGAACCAGCTTTTGAATTTTATTTTTGTCTCCTGAAAAACAACCAGAAAAATGGTAAGAAACAAAGTTATTAGGAAGGACAAGCAGTTTGGGACAGAATACTCTCACACTGTTCATGTAAATTAAGTTCTGAAAATTAGTACCAGGCGTTACTCGCTCACCCTGTAAGATTTTACCTTTGAGTTGTTTGGCATACTTGAGGAGAAATTGGTATGGATGTTCCACTTGCAAATCAAACTTTATTGTTTGTAGTAAGATTCTTTCAAGGACCATCACTTCTTCCTAGAGAATGTCACAAGGTAACCACAGTATTATTCCTTCTTCTACTCACAAATAATTCAAGCTGGTATAAAGCACGACTACAGAGCATCTGCAGGCAAACATGCTTGTCGGCTTTTGCTTGATTAGGGTTTGTCTCTGAGGAGAACACGAATCTCTCCAACTTAAAACATTATTTTAAACCCAGATACTTTTCTCTCACATTTATTTAGGGCAGGAGATGAGATGTGGTGTTTAAAATTCCTTTTTCTCCACAGAGGAAAGAGCTGAACCAGATACAGCATGAAAGTGCCGAATACACAAAGTCACAACAAAAGGAGAAGTTCTCACCACATTTCTTTCAGGTTTCAGATCCTTCTGCTGTTTATAATAGGCAAGTTTTGAAAGCAGCATGGGTTTTGTTGTTAAGTCACACACAGGAAACTTCTCAATGCTTTGGGATGTATTTCTTAAGATTACTTAAGATTTGCTATCAACTGCTTCCTAATACATTAAGACAGTCAAATATGATTTATGCCTCGATGACCTTTCCAGCTCTAACCAGAATTACTCAAATTTACTTTACCTTGCAAAATAACATCAGAATTTACATGAACTAAACTGTAAACTTTTTATAAAATTATCCCAGTAGGCTCCCAAAGCTACTTTTATTAGCAGTAATTATTCTCACAGGTACCTACCACATTGCCCAGAAGAGCTAGAAATGCATGCGGAATGTATAATTTAATCTAGAACAGCTGAAAATCAGCCAGTCCTCTAGTGAATGTACGTCACTTCGCTGGGCTACAACAGGAAGAAATCCATTTCAACAAGAGTATTTTTACCTTGGGATCATCTCCAAACTGCCCAAACTGTACATCATTTAGCAAGCTACGAGCTGTCTTAATTATATCTTTACATTTCTTAGGTGTTTCTTCAACTTTTCCTGCCAGGAAGAGACAGCAGGCTCCTGTCACCTGAAAAAGAAAGTGCTTTCAAAAACCTGTCTGCATGTAAACAGGCAATACATTATGGGGTTGTATAAAAACACTAAGAGTTTCCATTAACAGTTTGGTAGAAGTTTCCCAGTTTAATAATACACATATTAATTTCTGATTTTATTATAGTGTTAAATTAAACTTTTACTTTCTCAAAGTATAGAATACTGAGGACTGTCCATTTTACACAACTTTATTTCAAGGTCAGAAACTCAAAGCAGAATTTGTCCTTGTTCAACACTATTTCTCAAGCAGTTTTTAAATTATATTACACTGTTTTTTTCCCTTTTAGCCAATACAGGAGTGCCAGAACTATGGCTGTAACTCTTTCTAAAGAACAGTATCAGCAAGCCATAACTGCAATGTCAATATAGATACGTTTCTAAGCTTAAATGGAAATGTGTAAACAAACAAGAACAGTGTATTTTAAGCTGTAATTATTAAAGGGTAAAACATCTATTCTACATCATTCAGAGCAGAGGACAGTAGTAGTACCCCAGTGATCTATTTCTAACAGCCCATGCCTGGTGCAATCACTGTATTCAAGTCATCGATACTGTAAATACTCACATATCTTGGGAACTGTTTGAAGGAGTGAAACATGTAAAACCGATGGAAATAAATTATTCCAGTTGCTAGAGTATCATAATGTCTGTGGTGCAGAATAAGGACTTGCAAACAGGGCAGAAAGCAAATTTTAAACCAAACATGCACAAAGCAAAAGATACATTCTGCCATCTCAAGTACCCCAAGTAACTGTCCGTTCAGTGACCAGTTTGAAAGCACTGCAAGTAAAACAGGAGCTGTAAAAAAACAAGCCCAAAACAGAAAAGAAAACTCCTTAAGGCTGTGTAAAGACTAAAATTCAGCCCAGATGAAGGTGATAACTAAAGCATTTATTGGAAGCGTGCAAAGTCCCAATCATGTTTATAGGAGGATCCATGCAAGGTCGTCCTCGTGTTAAACCACGCCTGCTTCAGGGAAGGTAAAATCCAGCAGTGGGTACAAAGAGAACAACCATCACCTCACGTGGGAGTGCTGCTGTGGAAGAAAGTTACTCATTACTCACACCTCCAAATGCAAATAAAATGTGAACATGCTCCCTACCCTCTTCCTTAAGGGTAAAATTTCATCTTCACCAGTTTTGCTAAACAAAGAACTGAGGAGATTAAAAGAAACATAGGAATAAAGGAAGCAAAAAGTTTAAGTGGCAGTCTGTGAGGGAGGAGGAGAGTGGAGAGAAAGTTGTTATACAACTTACAAAGTTGTTGTAACAAGTTGTAAATATCCCAACCTAAACAAACAAACAAAAGACTCACCAACAAAACATCAGAAAAAGAAAAGAGTGGAGAGGCAGAAGTCAGAAGCCTCAGAGGGAAAACACACAGAAAAACAAATGCAAAATTCAAAACCTGAGAAGTTACTCAGACTCATGTAGTAAGAAACCAAGTCTGATAACTGTTAAAAGTCACCCTTAATCAGCAAGCCTGCATCATCTTACTTTTCTACTGCCAAATTGGTGCAGGTGAAACCTCGTTAACTCAACGAATGGATACAAATTCGGAACATCAGAGAAATTCAGGAACACATTGCTTAACAGGCAAGTAAGCTCAAAAAGATTTTTGATTCACGATTCAGAAACATTTGAGCAGCTAACTAAGCACACAAATGCCTTTTCTTTTACACTTTATTCTGAAAATCCCCGTTCCTAACGGCAGTTCACGCCAACAGGAGCGGAAAGGATACAGCCCTAAGCGTGTTCCCACATCGAAGATGAATCTGGCGCCCTCCCTGCGGTACCGTGCCTCGGTAGCTGGGTCGAGCCCTTCGAGCTGCGACGGTGTATGTGCCAAGTCTTTCTTATCCCAGTACCAACATGGCTTTGTATGGTCCAGGTTTGCCAAGTTTACAGAAGGGCTGGAATTTTCTTTGTTCTCCTTCATTTATTAAACCAGAATTGTTCTCGCTCTTTCGGTTTTCAAAAAGGAAGTCTTCAGAGAGTTGTTTCAGAGCCTTTGAGAAAAGAAAAAAGGGATTTCTTTATAAATGGAAGGGACTTTTTTTTTTCCACTTATGTTGCTGGAATGGTATTTAACCTTGCCCATGAGAAAATTAATATTTAACCTTGCCTTCCCCATATACTGCAAATTCAATTCAACAAAACAGTTTATTCTTTGCTATTAACTGTTTATTAAACTTGAACGCAATACCAACACCACCTGCTATTTCTCAGTAGAGCAACTTTCACCTACTTTGTCCATAAAATAATTTAAACCAATTCCGTGACGGCAGCAGCAAGACTGAAAAAGAGAACAAAGCCTGTCTTGCTGCCTTCATTTCTTTCAGGCACAAACCAATTCTTGCTGCAATTCAATAAACTGCAGATGCTACGCACAAATTACTGCAGTCACCTGCAAAGGTTTGCATAACAACCAGTGATTACCAGATGATGCAACACAGTTGCTCTGAGCCAAACAGTCAGAGGAACTCCCAAACTTAAAACTCGAAAAATTAAGCTGTTAATTTCCCAGGTGGTTTCCTTCTGAAAACAGGAGGAGGATCACAGGAACTGCCAGAAAAACTACGATCAGTGTCTCAGGTAACTTCAAAAAGTTTCTCTTTTTCAGAATGAAGGAAACCACCTTTGTTCCACGTCGGAAGAACCTTCTCAAGCAACGTCACCACGGACGGATCAACCCAAACTCGGTCACAAATAAGCGAGCAGCTACTTAAAGCTATTTTCAGATCCAAAGACCAAGCATTTCCATCACATTCACCAAAAAAGCGTTATTTTTACAACTCTTACGCTTCACCTTCTTTACAAGTTATTCTACTTCCTACCACCCTGCACAGTGTAAAACCCTATTAACACTAAAATCGCCCGAGGCGATGCAACCTGCTTCTCTAAACCGCGAGCGCACTTCCGAGTATAAAATCAGGAATAAAACCCCTCAACAACTCCACAAACATCCTAAAAGAACCACCTGGAGCATCCCAATTCAAACCTGAAATGAATAATTAAAGGTTTCGTCCCGCCTTTTTTTCCTCACGCACCTCATCCAGAGATTATTCAAGAGCTCGATCCCGGTTTTCACACCCTACCTTAGGCGCACCAGCGACCGAGAACCCGTTACATCCCCCACATTGGCGGGGGGTGTTCAGCTCCTCCCAGCCGCGGGCCACCCGCCCTCC